CACTTTGGGAAATTTAAATATTCAAGATGGCCGCCATGAGGGATTTTATGCTGATTTAGCCGCCATACTGGATGCTTCCAGCTTCTGGAAATGGCGTCAGTTAAAAACCAATTCGAATTATTAATTTTACTTCAGCAAAAACTTTTAAGAAAAGAATCGACAAAACAATTGATGAGCCAGTAGTTCCTCCTACCCCTTCATATAAAAATAAAAGTTTAATAAATAATTCAATGCCCTGAGCAGGGAAACTTGGGATCCCCTTTTGTAAAGCCGTTGAAGGGGGTGGGGAGGACCGGGTTGTTTGTCAGTTAGAGAAGGTTTTAACTCCAAGTTTATTCTAGAAACACTATTCGATGATCCTGTCAAAATTGTATGATGATACCATGGTATATACCCCAAAAGAAGCCATGCTGTCTCATTGCAAACAGACCAAATTACTGATGGAAATATCGAGTACCACACCCACAGACAAGCCGACAGTAAACTCTGCTACAGGTTCAAGACAGGGAGAGTAACTATACTTCACGTATAAAGATAGTGTTCTCCACTTTTTGCCAAAATCCATCCATAAGTTTAGTTAAATCGATCTGCTACCCAACAGAAGCCAATTATTTCTCTACAACAGCTACACAATTGTGATGTTCTCATAAACGCGAGGCTAGGAAAAGGTATCATTCCAAGTTGGAATTCCCAGTTCAACTGTTAGGAAATGACCATTTCCTGGACTTTCAACACCCACACATGGGAGCTTCCCCAGGTGGTATAGTGGAGTGTAGCTGTTGTGGGAAGAGTTGCTTAGAAGTCAAGTGCCCATTCGGAGATGGAAAAGATTCCTGTCTCAAGAAAGTAGACGGTTTATTGCAACTGAAACATGACCACCAATACTACTCCCAAATTCAGGCTCAACTTCTTGTTTGTAATTTGAACTATTACGACTTTGTGATCTTGACAGAGAGTGATGTATTCATTGAAAGAATTGTGCCAGATGTAGGGTAGGGTCAGACTAATAATCGTAGCAGCCATAACAACTATTATAATCTGTGTAACAATACTCTTCACAGATGTATTAAGAGAGAGTAAGCGTGTTTAACACCCACTTAACACAAATCGGGTCATTTTGGGACTAACATAATGGTAAACGCTCGTGGAAAGTTGTGAACTAGGAGAATACCTACAAGTCCGGCACTGAGAGAGAAACTAGGTCATATTTAGTCTTCAAAGGAATTATCAGTGAGCTGAAAATCGACCGTGTATTTTCTAATCGCTCTTTACTGCAGTCAGTTTGTTTCTTCAAATCTTCGTTACGCATCTACAATAGCAATGACCTCGGTGATAAAATTATATTTGGAATGTGTTTAACCAGTTCTATCACTAATGCAATAATGGCTGACACCAACATTGTCCTTTAAACATAATAAAATGTATCAAACTAAACAATCACGATTTCAGCTTCAATCCAGATGAATGGCGAGTGTTTTAACTTAGACAATATCTTATCGAATGTATGTTTACACGCATGATTTGTTCTGCATAGTTATGTCGTGTTATATACACGTTGATTTCCTTAATAGCTTTTCATACATTAGTGTTATATAATTATATTTCCAAGTGGGTACCCCGTTAAATTTACATTCTGAAAAACAAGTACTTTGATCAACTATGACATTGCGTAAACCGAAGGCAATGATGTCCGTACATTTCATCTAATTAATAATAGCAGGAATGCAAGTTGTGTATAGTGTACTCGTAGATCAACGTTAAACTTACTGTAAACTGGGTTCTTTTTTTCACAATAACTAACCACTTAAATTTCTACACTGTCAATATCCATTCATTTTAGCTATTGATCATCTGCATAATATATCAACACCCCCTTTATTCTTTGGTGTGAAACTATCCAAATGTTAACATGGATTCATTTTATAAAATTGATTAATATCTTTGGACTGATTATGTGTAATAGAGATATTTGTTCTAATAACGGATACTGACAGTGGTCGATTGAACGTTGAATTTTTGTTTCTTGTCTTTTGTTATGGTTAAATATAACGATCTTACACCGTGTACAGAAATGATAGTTCTAATATAATCAAATATTATAAATAAAGAATGTAAGTTAGATTGTTTTCATTTTCCATTCATGCCACCATCCATACAAGTGACACGCTTGCCAATTATTTAACCACGACACTTACTTAGCGTTCTATTCACAACAGTATTACCCCTGTCTACAGACCAAAGAACATTATAAATTAGAACAGGTTTCGCTTTAGTTTTTTATATTTTACGTTGATATTTTATTGCTTTAAATCTTCCTAGTGCCAAAAAACGGTAAATTTCACCTTTTGACCTCTAGGGTCACTAAGACTAAAGGTGAATTTAGCAAGTTTACATTTTTATTGAAAGTGTGATTACTTTCGATCATTCTCAGCTTCTTTTTATAATACAAGAATGACTGCACATTCACTTTCAGTGCAAATAAATCCATTTGACCTTTGACCCCGAATATCTCGAAAACGCCCCACCGGCGGACTGATTACCACTCGGCATCGTATTCTACGCAAAATTTTACTCTAGAAAAGTTGGGTCTGGTTTTGTGCCCATTTGCTGGACACCCCCCCCCCCCCGCCTCCAGACTAAACCATATTGCTTAGAAGCATCGGTTTGTAATAACGTCCAAAATAACATTAACAAATCAAAATATTAACAAAGCCGAAAATACGTTAAATTTTAAATGGTTAAAAGCTGGGCTAGACAACAATACAATTCCTTGGTATTTTTAGATATGTTAAATTTTTAACAAGAGCCTACAACAGATATTTTCTTTTATAAAGTTTTCTGGGGTTACCCTTAAACATGTAACCCAGAATATTGAGTGATTTCTGAAGTGTCAAATGAACTAGCACTCGTAGAACATATATATATATATATATATATATATATATATATATATATATATATATATAAAGCTTATACTGAAAAAAACAGAATAGTTTTTTAGTTCTTCACTGGACAGACGGTTGCACAGATGGACAAGCGGAAACACGCATCGACGAACGTAGATAATCAAAAATTGTTTAACATTTCTAAATAACAGCTATTGTTGTGTGTAAACATACTTGGTGGTTCTTTGGGATCATCTCTGAAACCCACCATACCCAGATATGACGAAAAACCGTAAAATCTGAACTCGGTAAGAAAAACATTATGTTATGGTAAAATGAAATGTCCATCTTCGTGTGACATCGTCTCAATAGTTCATAAATTTGCATTCTGATTATTTCCATGTAAAATTTAAAATACTTAGTATAATTGCATAATAATATTTGAAGCAGCCAACAATTCAATTCGTTTCCTAATTTATTACAATTATTGAAGTGAGCAGGTACATTTTTCAATATCGGAAAGAGCGCAAAATCTTAGGTATCTATATTTCAAGCACCATTAAATAACCCAAGGCGTTTGGAATTGTTGGTTTAGAACGTCTTTAAATTAATGGATGCTAGTAAAGTAATGCACAATTGATTTTGATTGATTTACCACAACCAATTTTGATCTTTGCCTCAAGTCGTGTTACATTTCTTGTTCGATTTGCATGAGGAAGTATTTCTTTCCGTTTGATTAACGTTTAGGACATCACTGATATGATCCAGATTATAGCCATATTTACGTCATGTTCATTGGTTCCACTATAGAATAATCATTTAATTTCCTGAACCGCAATATGTATCAATCGTGGATAATTCCTGATTTACGCACATGAATACCCATGATTCTAGCTGATGAGACAAAAACAACCTGTCGGGTACAAAGACCATTGCATTCATCGCTTTTTTATCTATTTAATTATATCACTCAGTGAATAGATTATAAAATCATACTGCCAATGATTAATCAGTTTAGATTGCTCATCCAGTGGCTCTTAATTAATAATTTATGATGGCTTTGGGTTTGTCACCATTGATATTGGTTATTGGCTGTCATTCCGTCTTCATCGGTTACCCTTATGCTTGAGACTCGAACTGAACAATTGCTGCGCGAAGTGAAGAATATTGTTGGATCAAATTTACGTAACATAAAAATAAAGAATAGCCAGGAATATAACACACAACTCTAAATATACATTTAAAGGACAATATTGGTGCCAGTCATTATCTAATATGTGATAGAGCTGGTTAAACACATTCCAAATATAATTTGTAACACATAGATCATTGCTACGATAGCTGAGTAATACAGGTTTCCTGAATCGGAAGTGACGAACGCCAAAGGAAAACACGAGTCATCTCTCTATATAACTGACTGATGTGACGAGTGATAACAGATACACGGCCGAATTTCTGCTCACTAATAATTCCTTCGAAGACCAAAAGTTGTTATATGGGACTGTATGAGAATACCTGACAATTCAATAAAGTAATTGAATGTCATTAGATAAGAGAACACGAGAAAGATAGAAATAGTCCGTACATTCCATTGTTTATATTCATTCTATACCTTATAAAAACATGGTAATGCACGGACTTTTCTGTTTTTCTTTCGTGTTCACTTATCTAGTGGTAGTCAATTCTTTTAATGAATTGCCAGATATCCTCTCACCATCTCACATAACTTTTGGTCTTCGAAGGAATTATTAGTGAGCAGAAATTCGCCCGTATATCCGTTATCACTCGCCACATTAGTCAGTTATATAGAGAGATTACTCGTGTTTTCCTTTGGCGTTCGTCACTTCCGATTCAGGAAACCTGTACTACTCAGCTATCGTAGCAATGATCTCTGTGCTAAAATTATATTTGGAATGTGTTTAACCAGCTCTATCACATATGTGATAATGACTGGCACCAATATTGTCCTTTAAGAACATTTTAAACCTTGTATCTCGTCAACTCAACTTCTTTGAAAATTCCGAAAGTGCTACTGTTTGACATCATTGTTTAAAGGGAGATCTTTTATTTCTACAACGCGATTTGCATTATAAACTTTTATTAAGAAATCACACTTGGTTATCAAAACCGTAAGTTTGTATCTACACTACAAATGTAACATCATCATCAAAGATTTACAAACATAAAATAAATACGTAAACCATCTTATGGTAGCTAAAAGAAAAGTATACAAAGTCATATTATATACTTGTAGTATATAACTAGTTGGTTCTAAGGCATGCTATGAAAGTTTTCTACATCTGTTATTAAATATTGACTATAATAATTGATAGAGTGAATTTAAGATTCGTGTTTGGTAAGAAGGGTACTGGATAACACCATTTTAAAATGAAACTTATTATAAAATATCATATATCTATAAAATTTTAAATATCTATCTATAAAATTCTAAATATCTAGAAACCAATCATTGGTTTCTTTAATTATAATAATGGTACCGGTGTATACTGATAGAGAGACAAACATTTTAGTCAGATTATATGATTTACCATCTTTCTAAATCTATTAAAATGTACAAATTTTAAAAAAAATATACGAGCTTAATATATTTTATAATATTTACTTATTTTTTGTACTTAGGAATAATTCTGCCTTTCTGATTGCTGACTAGTTTTAAAATAATATACAATAACGGTGCTAGTATTCTCAGTGTGTTTCTCGAGTCGAATTAATCTGGATTGTGGGTTGAGAGAGAGAAGAGAGAAAGAGGGGGGGGGGTCATTTCGGGATTAACACATGGTTCAATTTTATTTCAATGATTCGTTTGAGCGTAGAGGTCTTTAGCCTGATTGGGAGAAAACCAGAGGACCCGATGAAAACCCACGAGATTGGACAGGCGACCGTACTCCTTGTCACGTACCACCCGACGAATCGAATCCACGCCTGTTGACTTAATGACAGACCTTATTATACAGCGCGCATGTGCTAACCATTCGGCCATCCAACTCCCCGGGGTTAAGATAATCGTGTAGAATGGCATATCTCATCCATAATGAAGCAGTAGCTATTGTTTGTCTTATTAATGAGACCTTTAACACCATTAGAATTGTTTTTTTCAAATCTATACCTAGCCACGAATCTGTTATGCAAGCTTGCCCATTGCCACCTTATTGATTCGTGATATTTACACACACAATGATATGTTATGGATATGTCTAACAACTTGTTAATCTTTCTGAACAACTACTGTATTAATTAACAACTAATATCAAACTAGCACCGGAATGGATTCCAGGTGGAAGAAGCACCATGACTGACTTGTGTTCCATCAAATCATCAAATTATAAACATCCCTATAAAAAAGATAACATTATTCAGGTTAGTGTACAGTATTCAGATGTTCAGATGTCCCAGACTTGGACTGTTTGGGTTTTTAACTAGAAATTTCAACATGTCACCTATTTTCCCAATAAAACAATAAATAACATTTCATTGAATTCTGGAGAAAGTAACCGGTTCAGTTATTGAAAATTAATTAAAGTTTAAAATCATATTGGCTATTTATATAAATAAAACTTACACACATTTTCACGAAACACTACTAAATCCTATAAAATTCCTTAGCCAAATCGGTATCGTTCATTGACTGAAATAAGTAAAATAAAACAAGACCATGATTTCATAATCTCACTGTTAAAACAATAAAATAACACTTAGCTCGCGAAGTGCGGATCGCCATGTTTGTTTTTACAGCTGGAATTTAATACTAAAGAATAAAAGAAACTTAACATACCTTCATAAAAAGTTATCTTTTTCATTCCACAATTATTTTCCTTTAAAAGAGAAAACACAAATCAAAATATTTTGGCTATATGAACCAATCAAAGAAATGCGATCTGATATTATGCGATCTGATATTGCTAGTATGAGGCCTCATCTTTACCGGTGCCAGATTTACCATGCTGCAAATGGCTCAACTGAATAAGTGCCCACAAACCAGCCCCATAATAAACTACAAAAACGTATACGAATACAAATAACAACAAGAAGAATATTTATAATTTATAAAATAACTATTGAAGCCGTTATTGGTGTATTTAAACGCGGGAATACAACCCATTAGAATCTGACAACTACTACACAGAGCAACTTCAAAAGTCATATAATATCTTAATATTTGATTGTGCGATCTGAAAATCTAGAAACAGGGCTATCTTTATTTTACTATACATTTTGAAAGATAAAATCCTATTTTACGGTTTAGTATGTTTTTTATTATTATTATTTTAAACTACATCTGTTTTAAAACTACATCTGTTTTGGGGCCACCATAATCGTATTCTTACCAGTGCTTAGGGCTCTACATTTTTAACCCGTTTCTACAAATACTTACATCTGTCTTTGGTGTTATATTTGTTCTTATAGTTCTTCTATTTATGGGTAATGGCGGTCGGAAGTTATTCTCCATCAGAAGTTGGGGGCTTCCTTCTGGTGCTTGATGGAGTTGCCGTAAAGTATAAAGCTACAAAATATGGAACACAAACGATTGTTGATAACATTCATGTTGCTTAAAGCCCGGCCCATACCGCCACGACTTGCCTAGACTCTACCCAACGCAACGTCTTGTCTCAGATAATCAGTGCAGTGTGGACAGTCCCACGACCACGATTCAATCGTAGTCGGATGCAGTTGGTTGCAGTCGTAACTTATCGTGTTTGTGTGGACACTCACACGACGCGATCAATTGTCTTACTGATGTTTAGCCAATCAGAGAGTAGCATTTCTACTACGGCAAAATATAATGTCACTTTTATGCTTCCGGTTTACTTTTGGAATCACTCGCTAGAGGGAAGTGGCGTAACTCACGACGCATAATCTGTGAGAGTCGGGCCTATGTGGACTGGTACCGTCGTAGACAAGTGAAGTAAAGGCGCGACCCGATTTTTTTTTACAACTACCCAAGATACTGAGTCATGTCGGCTTGTGTGTAGTCGTAGCGGTATGGGCCGGGCTTAATTTAAACGAAAACAACCAGCTGTGCCGTGTACGTACGTTAGAACTTCTTTAATTAAAAATAGTAAATCTACATTTTGTTATTATCAAAACTATTAAAGAGCTCTGCCATAATATTTCCATTGTCTATTCTGGAATTCTTTTTTTAATTAGAATAGTCGATAATTAACATTGATTGGAACTCCATCCCCTTCTATGTGTAGAGATAAAAAAAAGTAAAATTAAATTCTTACTCATTATTTTTATTGATTTACAAAAGACACCACGATTCGAGCAATTTGTAGAAAGTGCCTCATTAAAAATAAAACTTTACAACTGCTCAAATACAATGCTTAGCTCAATTTTAGATAGCAATATTTTAATGGTTCGGCTACTATTTCTATATTGGCAAGTAGAACCATTTTACGTCTTCATTACACACACCGATCCAATTCTGACTGAGCAGGCAGCATAGGATCTATATCTTAGTAATACAAATAATAACCATGTCCGTTTTAATCTAAACTATCATCTAGAAATTATAATTGGTTAGCGATGCCCTTGTAATATAATATTTCATATAGATAAACAAATTTATTAATGGTTGAGAAGATAAAAATTTAGATGTAGTACATACAAATTGATATGCTTGATACCAAATATTAAACAAGACAATAAATGGAGCAGGCGCCATTGACTCGCTGTATAATACAATATCAGTAGATTAATTTTCCCCTTAAGACATCAGTCATGGCATATCGCACGAATCATATTAGTTATATTAGATTAACCCCAGTTAGATTTCTATTGTCTACTATCCTAGGCTACAATTTAGTCTGGGTTCCGCTACGAATATCGACAAAGATAATTGCGCTAATTTAAATTTCCGAGCAGTATTAAGTCTACAAAACATTATGAATGTAATGAATTTAAATCAAAAACATATAAAAGATTTATTATATTTGGGTAGTGTCATGAGAAATCAGTTCTAATTAAGCTTTGAAATAATGATGCGCCTGATAGATAACAAGATGTTTAAAGATTAATGGTTTCATAGGCTTTCGTTTATTTTAACGTTTTACACAAACTGTGAAAGTCATCGATTAACGGACCTAAAAAAATAAATGCACTTTTGGATGCTCCAATGGCATCCAGTTGTTCAACATTCTGAAGTATTGACTTTTTTTTATAAAACTTATAAAGGAATGGTGTCATTTCACTAGTATGTGTAATGTAACATAACTCAAACATAGAATTGAATACCCAGCTGCTTCTGGCTCTAACATCCCACTTACTGCGTAGCATTTGCTTACCATTATAGAGCAGCCATAACAATTTTTGAGCAGGTTTTTGTTGGTTTTTGATGGACTGTCAATAATAGAAGAGAGATAGAGGGGGGGGGGGGAATTAACGTCCACTCGACACACACTAGGTCATTTCGCGACTAACATATGGTTCGATCTTTTTAATAATTCGCATGCGCGTAGGGGCCTTTAACAGTGGAAGGAAACCGAAGGACCGGGAGAAAACCCACGAGGTTGACAGGCAACCCTACTCCTTATCACGTACAACAGGGGAATCGAAACCACATACATTTCTTGCAACTAGAGAAACGGGTATATTAGTTTTAACATGACGAGGATGGCATAACTTACAAGATAAATAATGTTTAGTAACTGTCTCTTTCGAGTAAAAATTTGTAATAATTCCATTATTATGTCTCTTAACGAGAACATCTAAAAATGCAAATTCTTTATAACTAGTTTCAAAAGTGAATTTAATATTAAAGATACATTATGAGAGATTAGATAAAGAGCTGGCAGATCTCACTATAATAGTTAAAAACTAGATAAAGTAAAGGCAATTTGCTGAAAATTTCAGTCAAATTGATTCACTCTGAACCGAGATTTTAGCGATTGAATTTTCGACCTAGCCTCGATCAACATTACTAAAGTCAGTACGATTAAAAACATAGTCTCGATTATCCATTTCATTATTAAATTATGAATGGAAGTTGAACAGCAAATCGGCACCTAATCCAATAAACATCGCAGTCTAGCGACGCCATCGAGACTTGGTTATGGTCTGGATAAGTTAATTAATGTCTAAGAAAGGTCTACAATAGGCAGATTTAGCTCTTGCATAATGTATGTTTAAAAATACTTAAGTCATTTAATAGCTTATGCAAATCTGCTATTTGGCCAAGACTAGTTTTTCAAATTAATCTATCCCGGGGAAGATTTCCCACTCATTCTTGCTAAGTTATATCCATTACAACAGATTAGCGCACGTGTATACATGTTCTGTGTTAGTTACAGATATACTATGTAACCACAGACTGTTGTAACTATATACTATTAAAACGACAGCGTTACCATGTAAATATGTATACATTGTTTATTTTGACCATCTCTATTCAATTGCATTATTTCTGAAGAGCTCCCCAGATGAGCGAAAAGTACTTTTAAAATGTTGAAATCAGTTTGTGTCGGAATACCTTTTATCTTTTCATCGTTTATCGCGCAACAAAGTAGTGCAGCTTTTTGGTTGTGCTAATATTTTTGGATATATCTCGGTATCCGTGAAATCTGAAATATCTTTACCCAAGATGTATCTTTATACACAGAGCTGGTTTTAACAAGTAACATGAACCAAGGCGATAATGTCATTATTCTGTTCAATGTTTACTTGAGATATTTTGATGTAGATAATATTCAATGATTCCCATGAGTATTCTAAGACAGACATAATACAGCTGGTTATCACTGGTTACAACAAAACCGCCATGAATTTATAGGATACCTCGTCAGTATTCGTGGGTCTTTAAACACAAGCTAAAATGTGGTATCTTTAAAGAATACGCTTTTGTCATATACTTATGTATCAAAGTATTGAAACAGTTTGGCATGTCACCCCAGTATAATTCCAAACGCAACAATTTCCAGAACGGTCATAGAGAACCGTTTTAATCATCTGTGGTACCATAAAGCTAGCCGTCTGAACCTTAGAGATCCAGATATTAATGTTACTCAACAATTGGTGACAATCTTACCTGATCTTTTGTAATATAAAGTGGTTTATTAAATATAATCCAGGTTACAGTTTCCATACAGTTAGGTTGTGTTAAAGACCCTTCGTAGGTTATATAAAATTCACTAGGTGGTATTAGACCCAAGAGAGAAAAATCTGCTATCGTAATATGGTCATCTGAAATAATAAGATAAAAGAACGATAAATACTACAAATGCTAACTACCCACGTTTGCATTGCCAATCAACGTATGTCAAACGAAAATAATTACTTTTATCTGCATTACAATACCATGTTGATAAGGAGTTAAGATGATTGTTTTTGTTGATTCTGTTGGCCATGTAATGAACTGAAAATATGGGTTATAGGTCAGGCCTATGCTTACTTACATCAACAGCACACATTTAAGTAAATTTGGTAGTTTATTTTCATCATTTCATAATTTGTTCAAATAACGATCCCTTTTCTACAGCTAAGAAAACTATTTTACTAAGGGCGACAAAGTGTAAACATAATATCGATTAGCAATAAAGTCAACATAAAGTCATCAAAGACCATCAAGCTGGATTGTCTCTTAGAAACATGATTGATGGCATAAAACTAGCGACAAGAAGGACTTCTTGTCATTAAATGTGTTTATAACAAATATGAACACTGTCATTTATTCTGCGTCACACGCCAACAATGCATAAATGGGTATCTTGCGACACTATATGAATAATAAGGGAGGTGAAATGAAACTGCCTAAATATTCAACTTATTCTTGTCCAGACAACAGTCGGAAACCTAATGCTATCAATTAGTTTAAATAATTTTGAATGGAAGTTATTGAAAAACGTAAATGTATTCTATGCCGCCCGTTATTGAATTAAAATGTATTTGACTGGAAAGACTATTTGTCTGAACCCTAGAATGCTAATAAGCACAAAATTTAATTAAAGAAACTATAATTACGTACGATTTAGATCAATTTAGTTAACCATATGTTTTGTCCAACAATAACTGTAACAATGTGGGCGCGCAATAATTGTAACAATGTTGGTCCAAAGACTGTATTTGTTTTTACCATCATTAGTATTTCGAAATAAACTACAAATTAACAGATATTCCCCCAAAAGCACGGAACTTGAATGAATCAATGTGACAACATGTTTAAACGACAATAGTATTTTAAGGTTGTTGGTACCTTTAAATCTTGTTGATTTTGTAGCCTGTACTAGCATTTCAAAATCTGGATTCTCTTCATCTCGTATCTAAAAAAAAACCCAAATCAATCCTAATAACTGTTACATTTGTTAACATTTAAACTTCATAATGTTTCAATGTTCATCAATTCTACTACATAAAAAAGTAAATACTTACAATGCCAAACATAGCCATAGCAGCAATTCCGTGAGGTTTCATAATAGCCTGACTATACGTATCATATAAATCAGAATTAAAGCCTAAAATCTGAATCTGTAATGATACAAAAAAACAAATATTGCTGTCTAGGAGATTCAATCAGTACTTAAATCGCTCTTTTTCTTTGAGTCCATTTACATTCACAGTTTAGATAAACGACCAGGGAATTAATAAATAGCCTTTTCTCTCTGAATTCAAGATCAAAGACATTTTGAGGGAAGGTTTGTGCTTAGAAATACCTCAGTTAAAAGCAAAAGACTAATTAACTTTGAAAAGAGAAAATTGAAATTTGACAACATGCATGTAGCCAACGGATTAGGCTACCTGCAACAAGAGTAGTATGGAAAAAGCTCTGTATTAACACGACTTAAATGAGAAAGAACCCGATTCATAAGAGTAGTTTGGTCGTCAGGCGAGCCATTTAAGAACCGTTATCTCTCTCTTCAGTCCCGCTGAGTTCAAATATTTCCAAGGGGCAATTGAAAGGTTTCATTATGTAAAAATCAAGCTAAAAGTGGTTTTAGGCATAATTATCACTTTACATCACAATATAGCTCGTCAATTAATTTCACAGCCTTGTACACGGTTGCCAAATGCTTTCAAAATAATCAATATCATTGAACTTTACACGGAATGGGCATCAAGTAGACACAACTCTGAATACTAAACCAGGAAGTTTTACTAAAAACAAACCGGTCTTTAAGTTTTTGCAGTATCATTTAAATTAGATGAAGAAATGGTTAGTTTGTGTTGATTTAGTACAAATTAATGTCATGTGTTTAAAGTTAGCAGTTGTATAAAATAACAGATTCGTGGGTTGTCTGAAATCTCAACATTGACCCGTTTCTATTAAGAACGATTTGCTGCATATCAAGAGAAACTGTATATATATATACACGTACTTCAGAAACTACATACTGTCTCAGAATTCAGTCGTGTGTTCACGGTTTCGATACTGTGTTCTAATTAAATTCAGATCTGTGCGTTGGCTTAAAATAAATTGGTATGTGCAAATTACACTGTTTTTAATTTGACACATTTGATTGATTTTAAGGGGGTTTAAATTGATTAAAGCGTGTGGCAAAGCAATTGCCTTTTCCTTTCCCCTAGTTTAACTAGATTTAATCTAGTGGCGGCTAAAACAAAAACCATCTATAAAAATAATTTTCTAAAGTTAGAACGGGTGGGCCGAAATAGTGAGAAACCATTGCTTTATTAGAAAATAAAAGGAATTCAGAAATAGTACTGAGCTTAATCTTCTTTAATCTACAAAAATAAACAAGAAAATGAAACTGTATAAGAATTTGTATAGATATTCAAAATGTAATTTGAAAAAATGGAAACAAATCAAGGATGGATAATGGGAGAAATGGCGTATTTTCAGCATAATGCTTCCGCACTGTTAAAGCTAACATGTCTTCAAACAAAGTAAGTTCAGCTGCTGACATGGATATGGTTTCTAACATTTTGTAAGAAAACATTTCAAAAGGCTTTCAATTAGAAAGCCAAACATAAGACAGCCGACCACACTTAAGCTAAACTGTCCCTACAGATTCTTGGAAGAAATAAAATAATATGAAGTGACTACCCGAAGGGGTTAATTTTTATCCTTTTTTAAACTTTAACTTTAAAATCTTTGGTTCGTTGAGTGATGATGCATTGGTGTTAACGTCAATACATCTTTCAAATATACCTACTAGCAGGTAAATATGCATCAAAGAAACTATAAGTATTTTGCTGCGCATTAAATGAAAATCCCCTGACATATAATAAATGAAATGAAATGAAATGGGGTTTAATGTCCTACTAAATATAATATAACTCTTTCGGAAAACAAATTCAATCAAGGCAGGGTGTTGTCACTATCGCTTTATCGGGATGAATTAAATCTCGAGAACCCACAGATTAATAAAACCCATAAAACTCACTGAAAAAATTTCCCTCCAAACATTATACTTTTTTTAGTCAATTACAAAACATTATACTTTTTTTAGTCAATTACAAAACTCCTACCTCAGCAGGAAACGGCCGACCACCAACTGTATGTTCCGATCCAAGCTGATCCATACTTCCAAAATGAAGTTTAATCTCGTAAATACTATATGTATAGGACAGAGGACCACCAGTAAAACTAAAGTGTGAGTGAGAAGTCATGTTTAATCTAAAGGTTATATCATATCCAGTATTATATAGCATACCATCAACCTGGAAAGAAGACCAATATCTATATTTATATATATAAAAATAACAAAAAGAGCATATTTGACAATATACTGCATGTGTATGTCGGTAATTGATGTCTACCACCATAGCATCAGTTTGTGAATTTTGAAAGGATAAAAAGACCGCGCATCTCTACAATTTACGACAGTATTTCGATATATTAGAATTCACTTTTCAACATCTATTTAACTTTGAGTTTGAATTTGACTTCATCTTACATTGCGTCTATCCATTCTTATTGGTCGTAGGTTAGGATCATAGACCAGATCTTTCGGTGTTATATCTACTGGTGATTGGTATCTACCATGACTGCATAAACTCCACTCATGATTTAATAATCCCCAATATTCAGGACCTGGAAACAAGGATAACACAAAGATCTAGTATAATTAAGATATATATGGTTTAAACCAATACATTATCGAGTTTCAAACCTGAAACAGACCGCTTACTGAGTCTCAGATCCCAGAATCAGTATAGTCAGATACAACATTTCTCAGATACAGCATAGACACAGCATAGTTGAAAAATTAAATCTTAGAACTCAGATACAACATAGACCAAAGCTTATATATATCGGCTCTTAAATCTAAGATAAAATAAGTGATGAGCAGTTGTTCCCCCACCCCCGGCTCAGGTAATTAAAAGAACTATATTTTTATGAGAACAGTATCACTGTCGTTTGCCTTATCCTTTATCATCAAATGCTTGGGTGGGGTGGGCATTCAAAGCACGAGATAATGATATAGACATATGTGATATCACAATGATTGCTTTACATCAATGAAATTGAATCACAATTTGATCCTAATAATTCATAATACAAATTGACGTCAAATGGGGTGTTGGATTCCTCTTTTAAAAAGCTCAGTGTTTATGTATGCCTACGTAATTTGGAAACCATGGTGGCATCATGCATTGTCAACTGTTAAATTTCCTTAACACAAACCTGCCCCCCCCCCCCCTCCTGCAAAAATTCCTGAATCCGCACCTGCTAACAGCATCTTCACAATAAAAATGATGGTGGGTAGTGGCACTGCATGCGATCTTAATGCTACACTCTAACAATAATTATATAAGGATGACAGCTACTAGCAACATACACCACACTAAATGAGAGACTGCATTTATGACATCACAGGCGGAATTAGAACTAGCGATTGTCAATTGGAAAGAGTACAAACATGACTAACAGTTAATTTCAACATACGAAATAAACACATTGCCCGTTTTACTACGCTTGGAAAGCCATATAGAAAAAACATTTTATGATAAAGCGTAGCGCTTGGACGGGTGTACCTATGTACATTATCTATCTTTTGAGTAAAGTCGAAACAGGTGGATCGTCTCATTCAAATTAAATGCAGTTGTCTTGTGTAAATTTCACTGAATAAATGATATCGTTTCTTCGCGTTTATTTTATCTCTACCATAAACTGTAGTCTCTATCGCATTTAGAGATTCGCGGAAAAGGTGAGGGGTGGGGGCGTAGGTGTTACCGCGGTGCGCTGAACATCGTACGCTAAGAGTTTCTCTGCTCAGGACCCTGAAGTCTCACACAAAATTTGAAAAATATCTGTAGAAAACCCATAGCCTCTATAATTTTAACAATGTTTAATTAACAAGGGATAACTACGGAACTTAAGGTTGTTGGAGCCTGAAAATCTAATGCTTTACACCTCTTATCGCGTTCACAAGCCGATTGTTGACTAGTGGACTGTCAGGGACGACAACATTAAACGCCCACACTTAAATCATTAGAAATATATATCTTAAATGTGTGTTGCTGAATATTGTTTCAAGAACTTGAAGTGCTTTGCGCGGTTAACAGTTTATTTATTTTTTCATACCCGTATAAAACAATTGTTCAAGATTAAAGTACTGACACTACATGGTGAATAATACTTGTACACGCTACTTGAAATAGACACACTTTTGTTTCAAAGAATATAATATTTGAGTTATATTCTGAAACATGTGAAGAAGCTAAAGTGTATTTGCTTGGTAATACTTACTTTCATATAGTACATTGGCTAATTGCACATATAAAATTGTTAATTTATGACTTATTTCTTAAATACTACAGTTACAATTTATAGTTTGTTCTATTGTCATTATTACTTTTAATCCATGGTTATATTTGTTATATTTAATATTTTACGTACAAAAGTAACTTAGTGTTGTTTCTAAATCCATCTGATGACTTCCGGAATTCAATTCCATAATTTCCCGTTGTCAGCGGTGTAGGACACACAACGCGAAGTCTGAATATTGGGCGGTAGTATAATATTGGTTATCTGGTGCCGTGACCAGAATTTCGATCATGAGAGAAAATCCGTTGCAGACAGTGTTCCTTGCTAAATGTGGATTACTGATAAGGTGGTTGAAATCATTCGGGCTAGCAACGACATGTCATGCAAAATATTATCCACGAGTTAATGTTAGATTTCAGGTGGCTCCAGGAAGAAATTTACACATTTACTTTAAACGATCACTCGATCCAGGAGAACATTATATCGGGTTACGCTTAGTTGCGCCTATTGATAATCGGCCTCGAGCATCCATTTATACAAAATACCGATGACCTAATGAAATATTTGCGTCATAAAAGGAGCAGTCTACTGCTAAGTTGAAAATGATCCTGTGTTGCTTTATAGTAAGTGCCCTTTCCTTATAATTCCCGTGAACTAGAGTATACAATTAATTAAATATCAAGGTTAGGGATTAAGTAAAATACAGAATTTGGTTTACGAAAATAAAGTAAGTCATATTGTGTGTTATTCTATTGGTGGTAATGATATGATATCTGTTGCTAAGGAGAGCGCAATTCCCAAATAATTAAGTTTGATTAAAGGTTCAGTAATGTAATGTTATATACATGTAGTTGCTTAAATTCACGTAAAGGCTAAAATGTTCTACCAGGGCTCAAGTAAATATATAAAACTGAATGATTCGGTATGGGGTTTTAAGTGACAAAAGCTAAAACAGGGTGCCTTGATAATTCGGAGGTAGCCGTTTCCGTGTTTTTGTCAGATTAATTTATATAAGGAGAAGTTAATGTTATGTTTATGTTTGTACTTTAAAAAGTAAAACGTAAATAAAGATCGGGTCCAAGGTTAAAAGTTAAGGTTACATGTGGACAACATACCGTGGTATTTAAATCAGACGTGTCTTTGATTGATTAAGCCACTTTCTCACAGGTATATTGATTACAATCGGGAATTACCAATGAGTTTAAGTGAGTATGTTAAGGGGAATAATAACTAATGAGTTTGTCAAACAATGACCATATATACTTAGTAAGTAAATACAAGTGGAAATCTAAAATTATAGGATATGTAATACAGGTTTATTCACGATGAAAGAAATAGAAGTAAAATTTAAGACATAATAATATGCGTAAATTAAAAGTAATTAATTTTAATGTATTGTGGTATGCTGAAACAATGAAATGGCTCCATTTAAAGAATATAATTTATCTAAAACACGCATTAAAGAAGAACAAGCCATAAATCTTGAGATTGAATGATAACGTTTAAAGTGAAGAAAACAGAATATTTTGAATGGGACATTAGTTATCCTTGCGAACTGTGATACGTAGGACTTTAAATGTTTAAAGCACATGTTAGAAGTGGTTCGGAACTTATTGGTAATTATTTAAACCTTGTATTGCATTTTGCATGAACGATGACAAAGTCATACAGACGAGGTCATTGTGGATGACAAAGACTGTCGGTATATTTAAGCTAGCTAAGCAATCTGACCTGTAGAGCTATTACACGTTTTCGATGGCATGAGGTGCTGACAATGGAAATAACTGACGCACGACAGAGGCGACAATATTACAAGATCACATTAACATACGACTTATAACAGATTATTAAGTTTAAACACAAAAGGAAATAACAGATGGGGAAACAGAGAGACAAAAAAAAATAAACTGAATAGCACTGAAATAATGAATGGGATTCAGGATACTGATACATTGTCGAAGATCATTTTGTGTAATCTAGTAAATTAATCGACTGAAAGAGCAAGTAAGCTTACTGAATACGTATCCCTACTGGATTATGCTAAAAGGGGATATATCCTCGAAGACCAGACAGTCAGACAACGAAATCCCCCTGTGGCTCTTGGTTGAACTAAACTAATAATAGATTTAGCGGGTTCTTCGCTTGATAAACTCATTACTGTACCCTCTCTCGTTTGTATACCAAGGTTTGTATGCTTAATACCTTGATGGTGGGCATCGTTTAAACCATATCCTCATCTAGACTATGTTAATTACAAACAACAATAATGGTGTTTGGTCATTCCGACGACGAACGTCTGCTCCATTCCAGTTGTAAACTATTTAATCACATTATATCAATAGTAATCCACAGCTTAAATCATTGCCTCTACGGATATAGATGTTCGGGGCAACCGAAACATTGCTTTGGCTCATAATGACATTAAATTAAGAAGTGTGTAATAACTCGACCGTTTGCGTGTTCAAATCTCGTTTCAAATCCATAACACACTCTTTCTATTACATCGCCTCCCCGTGGACATAGATACACTGACTTTACAAATATAGAATGGCAGTGCCAAGACAAATTTATTTTAGACGAGACTAGAGCAATTGCCATTCTAAGAACATCATTTTCCTTTTAAGATAACATGACTTAAGACTAAATGTTTCTTTTAAATCTAAACCCATTCAGTGTCATCTGATGCCGAGAGAATTGTAGACCATATGCTATATATATTGTACGCTTAGTTTATATTGGAATTAGCTAATAGTGGAGAGGTTAACACTATCAACCTATTCATCATCAATATATCATGATTGATATTGTAAATACCCTTTAGCTGGTATAAATTATTGAAATTACAACACAACAAAATCAGTCACTTGCGTCTGACAGCTAAAAGCCCCGGTATCGCTGTGCTCAGCCAATTTACTCCCACCATAAATCATTTGAAAATCTGCACAGAATTATTGGCGGGTGTCACTCTACAGAATACTCAATAACAGTAACACGTTTCAATGAGTCGATTAAAACATTGGCCTCGGGAGGGCAAAGATCTGTAAGGACGGCAACATGAGTCACAAATTAAATTGAAATCAGCAAAACCTGTGCCGGTTACTTTAGATCATTAACTTGTGATAAAATTGAATTGATGTAGCAATGTTTCTTAAGCTTTCAATAAATCTTCTTGTTCTGTTGGCAGTTAGTTAATGTCCGCTGTGTTTTGTTTTATATTGTGATACTTTAACCTTAGGCCGTAGCGGCGACATATCTTTACAAGTATACTGAATTTTCTTGGCTAAGTACATGGCTATAAGAAACACTTGATATCGCTTACTAACTCACCACATGACACAATAAAAGATATTTTTCAAATTGCACGCCATGGTGTTCTGCAGCTGAAAGTACACCAGACATTTGCTCGAATGATCAAATCATTATATTATGTTATTATTGCTGACATTCGAGAATTATAATGAACTGTACCTAACATTATGTACCCCAGAAAAATATTAAGAATATATCACAGCTAGTGTCTATTTAAATACAAAGAACTGTTAGCCTGAAATTAGATTTGTCACTTCTGGTTACTTAGATCACAGGCAGTTAGTCAAATATACAGTGCAGTATAAACTGTCCATGATGCTTTCCATACCTTATCCGGAAAGAAATGGGGCTTTCTGCTCCGACTGAGATAATGAAGACCGACATACATCATGCAGTGTGCTATGAGGAAATCTTTTCCCGAACAATACCGTATAAGATACTCACTGTCATGTCTGATTTCTTTCATTCTAAATATCGCAAATTGACATTTATTTTTATTAAAACGTATGCCGTGTAGATATATGAAAATGTTACTTGCTCTGCTTACATCTCTATACGTTTCTCTGACTATAATATACATCGGTATATAAGTTTTTATTGTAGTGAGATTGTCACGATGTAAACTGTCTATACGGAATCTAAAACGAGTAGTATTCGTCGCTTAGTTAAAATGTCCGGTATCACGGAAAATAACACTTCGTTTACCGTTTGTCTGAACAATAAAGATACTGTTATTATTGGCAACGGAATCTATCATTATTGAAACAGAATTTAAAGGAAACACCAATAAATCCTCTTGGTGGATCATTGCACTTATTTGATAGATTACTTTTTGTCTGTTGTGTATTTTTCTCACAGTTTCCATGTGTTTTTCTCATATTTTAGGTTCGTATCTAAAGCGAAAGTCCAGATACCCTTAGGAAAGGTTGAATTAAGTATGTAAATGTCCCCTGGTCACAATGCATGTCCCCATTGACTTTGCTGTTAATTCTGGTCTTTTTTGACCGGCTCTAACATTTTCCCACATTTCTGTTTTACTGCAGATAGAGTAACATAGGGCAATGTTTTCCCCAAAGGCATGTATGAGGTTCACCATGAAAATCTTGAGACACACAAACTGGAAATGGCGCATTAGCAACCATTCTGTTTTATCCTTCCGTCTCACAAACATGAATATTAACTAAAGCCTGACCCAAACAAATGTAAAGTAAACCCTCTCATCGATTCGGCACAAATCGCAATGCAAAAAATGGGGCGGGGGGGGGGGGCGGTTCTATATTGGTTTTCGTAAATCCGTCAAATTTGTTTATATTGTGTGTCGAAAGTGTGTGTTAGTCGTATTTCTATGGAAGCCTGTAACTACCATTCGAAATTTCTACTTTTCGCCCCTTCAGATCGCGGCAACAGCAGGCTACACCAACCAAAATCGGCTCGATAATAGGAAATTAAGAAATAAACACACAAACTTAGCCAAAATGAAACTCGAAAAGTAGAATTTAGGAAATTAACACACCGCGATATCAGCGACCTATCATTTTGGCTTGTTGCCGTACTTTCGACTTTTAGAGTTCCTACATTCCAGGTCTCATTTGAAAACGTGCAATCCGCGTTAACAAAATTGCATGTGTGATAAATTCTAGGCGAAACTCGAAAAGTCAGAAATAGGTGTACAATGTCCTTAAAGATACATTTTCAGGCAAGTATGTTTAGTTATTTCCAATAAAACTCACTCAATATTACATTAATAGAAAAATACTGGATTCCCCGAAAAACACCCATAAGGCGCCCACGGGACTTAAATGCAAGTGTGTTACTGACAGCCTTCGCCTTCCTGTTTGAGTGACGCAAGGAACGCATCTTCTTATCTGAATGATTTATCAACACAATATGTTGCAACTAGAACTTTAGGTTCATCAAATAGTAATCAGTTAGTTTGTACTGTTCCTGGGCGCTCGCCTAAGACGGTCCAAAAAAGCGGAAGAAATAGGCCTAATGTATCAACCTTCAAGAAACGTTTAAAAGCAGAATATTTTTTAATTAATCATCAAAATTAAATTTACGAGGGCTGGTTGGAATGTTTTAAACCTATCGGTAAAAGACCTGTACAGAATCGATTGTTTCCATTTATTTTCTACATAGTCCCTTTCGTGGTGTCCGCACTTTTGCCGACGATGTTGCAAGGCCTGGATGCCGGTCAGTTCCTTTTTTTCATTTCTGGAAACAGGTCTCATCCATAGTTACAAATCTGGCCAAAAACTTATCAGGATCGGCTTCAAAACGGCGCAGATTGTCACGTGACGTCAGGAATCTCACATGTTTCTGGTCCGCAGTCAAGAGCTTTGGCATCAATCTTGCAGAAACTTTTGTCATTCCTAACTCGTGGGCGATAATGTGCTCAACCCCCTCATGAGAGGTGCCCACAACACTGGCAATATGTCGAGTGGTCAATCGCGATCAGCCATCACCATGTCGATGGCCTTCCAGGACGCGGGTCATTGTCAAGGCTCCCTCTGCCCGTTTGTTACTGTGCAAAAGGAAGGTTCATCATCCCCTTAAGCGGAGACCATGTCGGTATATATCTGTGTTGGGGTTAGTCCTGCCAGTTACTTGATGCCTGCCCTATAGCCAGTTCGTCCATTTCTGGTGATTTCAATGGGTAGGTTCACAAGAGGGTCTGGTACGAAGACAATAATAACACTACAGTTGCAGTTCTTATGTTCATGATTCATTCATTGATTGTACTTGTGGGTGGCAAAGGTTTATTTCATCCCAACTGATCTATCCTTTTCAGAACTCTTCAGCCAGCCCTCGTATGTTATATTTTGTGCATGAAACGCGTCAAGTTTGTGCATTTCGGATGATTGTGTTTTACTTGTCTTTGTTGTCTATTTTCTATCCTTTGTAAAGCGTCACAGAGCAGCCAAACTGACTGAATGTTCAGCGCTCTAAAAAATGATTGTTATTATTAGTATCTTATGTATTGATCTAATAAGTCAACTATTCTGAGGATACCGAGAGACTTAAACGTCCAGTAGACTTTTGAGATTAAACGGCGGAAAACTTTACTTAGGCGTCTATACAGCGAATAACGACATATACGACTCTCTCCCTATCAAGCCACGTGACAAACAAGGTGACTTAACACATATCGTTGTCTTAAGATTGAAATGTTTGGGAGGGAATTGAAGCAAACTTTTGATAGATGAATGGATTGCTTTTCTCCACTTGTATCTGTAACCTGGTGCAAGTTCGACAAGTATATAAACATGATCAACTACATTCTTATAGAATCTGAAAGTATCACATGCCTTTAGACACAGACTGGGGTGACAAAAATACCAAACAATGTGAAAGTCATTGGCTTTGACCCTGATTTACAGCAGAACGTAAAGCTATGGCATCAATCAATATGTGTCTTTAATCGAATATTAAGTTCTCCAAGAAGTATTACTTTCTTTATCGATATTTATTTATATTCTACTACAAATGGCTTAAATCAAATGGCCTTGTAAAATGTCTGGAGTTTGACACACAGACATAAAAGCTTACTCGTATCGCAAGCTATTAAAATAAAATCAATAGTTTAATCTTCACAGACAGCTTAAAGTTGAACTCCGATTACAAAATTACAGAAAAAACTGAATTAAAAAATTAACGCCCTATATAATCGCCATACTTGTTTTCAATTTGTAGAACAAACATGGTGATTGCCCACGGCGTTCAAAAACAGTGGCATGCCACGTCCACATCTTGTCTATGATGCAGAAAATTGTGCAAACATTTCACGAAATAAGAAAAAGATTTGTTGGCGTTGATAGAAAAACATGTACAGAAAATTTAAGTATCATGCATTAATACAATACGTTAGATACCTCACTCCCCGCCCATCTTTAATATATCGGTTTTGATAACTCGTGATAGCATTCACTGACAACCAATAATACAGAGAGAATCGTATCAAAAAAAGACGAGTAGGAGATTTTATTTATCCCCCAATCCTTTCTTACATGCACAAATAAATAAATTTAATTCTTTGCTATAGATTTCACTTTTACTGAACCAGATTTCGGCGTAGTGATGCATCATTTTTTGTGACAGCAATTCACCCATTGCAAAGTCCTTTATATTGAACCAGTGATTCCATCAAGGTCAATTAAATAAAAATAGTTCATTTTTAATAAAAAAAAGAAGTTACTTTTGATAAAAAAAAAATAAACTGGTTTTTTGAAAATAAAAAAAGTAGTTCCTTTTCAACTGACCAATCAAATTCGTGTAAAGCGATATCTCCTAGTAGATTATGAAATGTATCACACAAGCGATATCTACTGTAGAATGTATTATTGGGTGATAAAGTGTTTTTTAAGCAGAGAGTATGAAATTGGTATACACAGTTTTATACTGAAAACTAATCTTCTTGTCTATGGACCTATAAAGGTTAGTCATGTCGCCGAATATTTTTTCCTATCAATGATAATGCATCGTAACCGCTTAGTTACTTCATTTACCAGCAAGTTATTGAACCTCCATTCAATTTTATTACCGTTATCAACATTCTCAACAAAACTCTCAAGATGCAAATAACTGTAAAATTGGCTAACATGCATCATTAAATAGTGAATCGTGAGTAGAATTGATATCAAGGGTAGAAATTCAACACAGATACACATCAAAATATTTTCTTTGAAAATGAAAGGAATGATTACCTGATATGCCATCATAACTCCACCATTGTGACCAGAGTGTTGAATCACCTATGTAAAAATACAGTAAAACCAAATTAATAATAGCTAGATTTGCAAATTAGATCGATGAACAATAAACTCATTGCATTTTACTCTTATTTTGTAAAACTATATTGTAGGGTTATCGGGCATATTGCGGCCGTTTTCAGGGAAAATTTTACAAAAACTGTTTCCCCAGTTAATAAGCACAATAACAATCTGTTTATGATGGCTCATATTAAGGGGATTAACATTTATTCCAGACAAGTTCTGGCACAATATTATGTGGTTGTAAAGGGATTCACTGTTTGCACACTGTTTATTGTAAGGATTAAACTGACATCTAAGTACATTTTGGTGTTATCAAACTTAAAATGAGGTTTGAAGAGGACATCTTTTTTTCCAACCGTTTTATAGCTGATATTTGAATATCTGAATTTATCCCATCCTTCCTTGTATATTGGTATACTCATTACAGTAAACGGAACTAGAACAGGGACATAACACGGCTTCGGTGAGATTAAATCCACTTTGTCCTGGTGGGTTTAACCACTTACTGAAAACCTAAAATGCCACTGGGCACTTATTTGACACACTTTTTTGTATTTTTGTTTAACTTTTGCTACATGATAGGGAATAATAACATTTCATATAACCATAAATCAAATTCATCTGCTGTAATCTGTAATTTTTTATTACTAGATTATAATATATCGTTGACACTCGACGTAAAATGTAATTTTTTATATATCGAAATCTTGTGTATAATGCACCAGAATTCATAATCACCCACCTGCTTGTTTGAATCAGATGGTACAATTGTACAGGGCGTCTTATTCTGAGATCTAGTACACCTAACAAATTCGTTAATTAGAAGGACATTGACTTTGGATAAATTTGGTAGTGTCTTGATGGAATAAATAGTGCTGGTTAGGCTTTTTCTTTTTCCAGCGCGGACATCAAATTGCTATTTCGCTGGCGTATTAAGTACTATGCTGCATTATCAACAGTGTTCATTACTAAACAGAAAACGAAAGTCTTGAAATAAGTATATCGAATAAATTTACGAATTCAATCAAATTCGGCTTGAAAGACGTCTGAAGTTTATTTTATCCCAAGCTATATTATTATATTTCGAAAAAGCTTTTAAACAGACATTGGAAAACCATGACTTTAAGCGTGTCTTAATGTCGTTGTTATAATTGGCAGTCAACTATTGCAAATCTTGTGTTGGATTTTTTTCTCTAATCAATTTCCTAACTGGCCAATATATTTAGTTATTTATTAACCCCTTGGACTAACTGATGCACTTTGAAATCTGGAACTGATTTAATTTGTGCCACTAAAGGTATTAATGCATTACGTTATTAAAAGGCGTGATAAACAATTAAGAAGCCTACCCACAATGAAACAATAACATCTAGTAAATTATACCAAGACAGTAACTACAACTACACAGAACAATGATTAAGAATAAAATAAAGTTACTTTACAGAAAGTTTTGAATTGATCTCCAAGTGACCTTTATATATAACAGCGATAGAGTTATTCGTTGGTGACATATACAAATTGCAATCTTCCCTGTCCTTTTGGAAAAACTATTTTTCCTCCGTCAAGCGTTTATTTGCATCTTCCGGGATATGGTGTATTTGCTTAAGTAGTCCCCAAAATCAACCCATTTTGAGTCAGCAATACCTCCATTACTTTGCAGAGAAAGAGAGAGAAATGGGGTTTAACGTCTATTCTACACAAACTAGGTCATTTCGGGACTAACATATTGTTCGATTTAATTTCAATAATTCGCTTGCGCGTAGTTGTCTTTAGCAGTGCGAGGATCCAGAGAAAACCCACGAGGTTGGACAGGTGAACTCCTTGTCACGCACAAGCAAGGAATCGAAAAAAACGATGACAAAATGGAATATACGAACTACAGTGGGTGGAGTGTAGGTAACCGATATAAAGATTAACGTAATTGGAGATTGCGTATCATCATAAAACTTCTTTCTTTCGTTTAGTAAAAGCTTTCCCACACATTTCCTTTTAAAATGCCAACCTTGATTAAAACCTTCTAACGTACTCACATTGTCTTAGAGTAGTTAATTACAACTGACTTGATACCACTGTTCCTGTCAGCTGAGAACAGAAACTTCGTGCCAGATTAGTTCAACTGACATTGACATTTCTTATAAAGGTATATCTTACATGAAAATAGAAATTATTGCAGACATCCACATGTCCGTTGTTACTTTTATACTTTATTCGTAATTGGTTCTTCAGCTTTTTCCTTTTAAAACAACAAAACAAAATTAAATCTGGTTTTGAGTTTGTCTGGTAAGTTTTTATGCGTACTCCCTCGGGACACTCAATACTAAAACATATTTGCGTTAATACCTGTCCATACTGCTCGATTCTATTGGAAAACATATGTGTCCCTTTTTGTAAATTATATATAATGTATACAAATAAACCGTTCTTAATTTTTGATTAATGAAATTTTTGAAATTATCAATGTTTGCAACTGTCAAAATAGTATTCATTATCAACCAAAACATGGTGTCCAGATTTAACACGTTTTGTGTACTTTAGAGTTGAATTTCCAAAATAACTGCTAATAGCTACGTCAAGAATTTGGGGCGACTAAACCCACAGCCGCCTAACCATCTCTATATTATTATACTTCTTTTTTCGCATTTCTTGAAATATTCATCCTGCATACATGTACCTATACATGAAAACTATTTGATGGACAATTACACGTTAATGAGTTACTTACTGTGCCACGGGTTAAAGCATTGACCTGACTTATTCTTTCCGAATGGTTCATTAAATTTTATTTGATGGACAATTACACGTTAATGAGTTACTTACTGTGCCACGGGTTAAAGCATTGACCTGACTTATTCTTTCCGAATGGTTCATTAAATTTATTTATTCTATCTCTTTTAAGGTATAATGTTTGATTTGAAATTTGTTTGAATTAGGGTTATTTCCTTGGACAAATTGATCCTTGGATGTCATCCCGTCCTCTAAATTTATATTGATTATAGTTAACGTTCCCTTTCTTTACTAAATCTAATGGAACAAATAAGATCAAAGTGATTAGTTTCAACCAGTAGCCATTAAGAAGAAATGGGTACACGAAGCTTTCTCTAGCTTTATCTGTAAACAAGTGGTGCACATGTCCGAAACAGAAAATACATATTTCCTTTTACAAAACAATTCCCATGTTCAGATATGAATAAGATCATTTCGACAAACAATATCGTATTGATTAGAAGATTCATGTAGAACTGGGCCAGCCTTAACGGGATAATCCCCCACCCCTGCCTTATGGGTTCTTAAATGTACTAGAGCTACAGACGGGAATATGAAACTCTCTTAACCTAAGTGAAAACTATTTCAGGAGAGTTGCACTCACAAGAAGAAATATCAGGGAGTAATAACTCCGGTAGAAATAAGAGAATCGGAATTATCTTGTTATGGTTTTCTTACGGTTTAGTAATATTAATTTTGAATGAAGTCCTTTGGTCGGTTTCGGAAGAGTCGCACGTGTGTACAAGAAAAAATGTCTAGGGATAATAACTGTACACGTGAAGGGGTTTGATCACATTTCTTTTATCCATTGAATTCCCACACCATGCCCTTTTACATTCTCTGTCCGGTCATATTTTCCCCCATAGCACACCACGTGGCGTATGTCCGTCTTCATTATCCCGGATAGTGCAGAAAAGTAGAATATTTACATTAAACCCCATTCCATTCATTCATTTGGGTAACCAAATTGTTGTTCCGTCTAATCTTAGTGTTATGATATTACAGATTCTTACACAGTTCCCACCCACTAGTTAGTATGCAGAACTATCATCTTACTCGTGTTCACTGACACTTATAATTTTATATTTCTTTCGTTCTAATGTTGATCTATTAAAATTACAGATTGGGTAATAAAATGGCTACCATGACCGCAGTTTGCCAGGCTCTCGTTATAATATATTGCTCTCACCTACACTGCATACATCTTAATTGCCCTCTTACGATGTATTTTTAAATCAAATAGTTTGAAGGATTTATGTAGAAGGTCCCGACAGACCAACTGAGTGGTTCCTATATACATCCATCTCAAAATTCGATAGCGAGAGCTAGGAAAAGTGTATTATTTGTTTTAAAATATGTCTGGTTTAACTATGTTGGTCGACTCCTTAAGTACATTTCACGTTTCTTGTAAGCGTTTTCTTTTTCGAATTGTTATTGTAGCTTATGTGCAGAAAAAATTCATAATAGGCGTTTGAAATCTAAAAAGATTGTCTTGAAATTTGGTAAAGATGATACAAGCATTAAAGGGTGTCATTTTTTTATTGATATGTTAGTAGGACTTATCTAATGCGACCTGTACATAAAAGATATTTGTGGTCATTCGTTTAGTTGTGTGTCCCTTGGCAACCTAGAGCTATATAAATTGAAATGATTACGACGTAGTGCTTTGAAGAAACTAAAAATACAATGATATTATTTCTGTTCCTTCAAATACATTATTTACCCCGTTCATGAGCCAATACAAACAAACATATAAGCCACCGTTTGGAATTATGAGAAAACAGTTAGCTAACAATGAAAAACTAATATTGCACTCGAACAATAGATGAAATTTATAATATGGTGTTCATTTAATTTACCTAATGCACAGTAATAACATAAAATAATATTTTATTAAAATATTTCTATAAATTTTATTTGTTTATGACACAGTATACTTCTCTCGACCAATAACTCATATAAATTTGAGCCAATAACTAGAAAACCAATTCCAATTTCCGATGGCTGAGCGTGGCGATAATTTGATTGACGTTTCTCTCCCCATCAATTTGATACAATCTCATATAGTTAGGTTTCTTCCATATTGAAATGATATATGATGATACTAAAAGAGACTGTGAGTATTCTATATAATCAGCTAATAAGACAAACACTAAAAGGGAAAACCTAAGAATAAATGGTGAATCGCCCACCGAGGTTATATTACTTATTAATTA